CTTGTAAAACGTATAATTTTATATATATATATATATATATATATATATATATATATATGTGTGTGTGTGTGTGTGTGTGTGTGTGTGTGTGTGTGTGTGTGTGTGTGTGTGTGTCAGACACGTGCCGTCAGTAATTACTCAGGGTAGACAACTTGTGACCTTTCTGTAGAAAATAAAATATTTTGTATTTTATGCATAATGCATTTTATGCATAATAATCAGATTAACATTCATAATTTTGTTGGTTTAGATACAAATTGTGCCACAGAAGGAAAATGTAACTGCTGATCGATATATATTCAGGGTAGGCTAGTTTTTACATAAGATGGACTCGTCCAAAGTATACTTATACTGACAGAGAGAAAACCTGTGGTTGACATACGTTGAGATGTCGAACTCTCTGCTTTGGCAGAGAGGAAACCAGACGAAGCTTTGCCGAAGGGCAAGGTTTCGTCTGGGGTGGTAGACAGGCCCTGAACCCGTCTAGGCGGATTCAAAGACTATATTTTTTGCTGAGCCTACGGGCTCGGAGAAACCCACGTTTCTTGTGCCTTGTGCCATATACATTCCTCGTGGGGGGACTGTTAAATATTGAGATACGTGGAGATAATTTGAGATACGTGGAGATACGTTGAGACAAGTTGAGAGATACGGAGACAGACACATAGTGTTCTCAGAGAGTTATACAAGTGTCCAGAGAGAGAGAGAGAGAGAGAGATGATTACGGCTTTACTTACTGAGACTTGTACATATACTTTCTACTAACCCGCATTCCTGGACTACTAATCTTCACTTCAAGTCTGTATTATTACGTTTAATACACTTATTTTTCTATCTCAATTACCGGCGTTGTTTATTTATTTGTGCAGGATTCCATTCACGGAATCCACAACGACTTGGCGACGACGGCCAGTTTTCAACCATCACCTGATGACTGCATCGTGAATGAAACTCAGCGTTATGTTACCGATGAGGAAAAAATATATTTATTATTAATATCAATTTTAGCTCTGTTATTATATATCGAGCTCTGCTTTATTCAATGTGCTATATTTTATATTTCAATTTTATATATATATATATATATATATATATATATATATATATATATATATATAAAGGACACCCGGTCAAAAAAAAAAGAAACTAGCTAACTAACAGACTAGGTTGATTGTCATTACTTTCGCTCTTCAACGTTCATATATAGAGTTGCGTGTAGACAAGCAAAGAATGCTCAAATATGGAGATAGACAGTGGGTGTGAATAAATGTTGGTGGCGGGAAAGAATTATTAACAAGTGTGTATGTGATGTGCATGCGTGTGTGTGTGTGTATGTGCGTGTGTGTGCGAATACGTAACGTGAAATAGGAGGGATGGGATGAGTATGAAAAGTGCAGATAAGAGCCGGTGCTGAAGAGAAAGGCAAACAAAAACGCTGTCCAATTTCTTCCTCAGAGCAATGCCGGCGGCTAAAAACTGTTTTAACTCTTGATATTTTTATCTCTTCATTTTAATGGATAAATTACTTGCCAACTCGATCAATTGGGTTTTGTATTATTCCTTATTTTTATTTTAACTTCTTTTTCGTAAGAGTTTTCTTTTTCTTTTATTTTTAGCACAGTGTTTAATCTTTTTCTTTTTCTTTTAATCGCTTTTTATTTTATCTTCTCTCTTTTGATTTCCATATTCTTTATTTACCGAGTCGCATCTTTAATTTCCTCTTTTGCTCATGTTTTTCTTCGTCATTTTATTTCTTTTCCTTATCAGTTTAGTCTTCTTCGCTTCATTTTCCTTCTCTCTTTCACTTCATTTGCATTTTTTTTTATATGTCTTTCTTTCTTCCCATTTGTGTTCTTCCATTTCACTTCATGTAGTTCCTTCTTTCTACTCATTTCAGTACCTTTTCTTCTGCTCATTTCTTTCTTTGCTTTTATATTTTCCTCATTCTTTCTATACATTCGTTTTTCAATTTATCTTCCTTAGTCATTCTTTTTATCGTCATTTAATTTTTCCGACTCATTTTATTTAGTCATTTTCTTCTTTTTTTCATCTTTTCGGAAATTTTTTTTCTAATTTGTTCTTTCAAAAAAAATTTTTTTTTTTCACTTGCTGTTTTCAATACTTTTCTTTTTTCGTTTCCTCTCCCTCTATTTCTTTCTATTCATTATATCATTTTTTTTTCTTTTCTTCTCCGTTCCAGTCTTTCTTTTCCTGTCCCTTTTATTCTTTCTTTTCCCCCTCTCTTTTCATTCTTTCCTTTCTTCAACCTTCTATTCTTTCACCGCCATCCTTTCTTTTTCTCTCTTCATTCCTTTTTTCTTTTTTTTTCATTTTTTCTTTTTCTCTCCATTTCATTCTTTCTTTTACTCTCCCTTTTATTCTTTCTTTTCCTCTCTCTTTTATTATTTCTTTTCCTCTCTCTCTCTCTCTCTCTCTTCTTCTTCTTTCGTTTACTCTCCCTTTTATTCTTTTTTCCTCTCTCTTTTATTCTTTCTTTAACTCTCGCTTTTATTCTTTCTTTTCCTCTCTCTCTCTTATTCTTTCTTTTACTCTCTCTCTTATTCTTTCTTTTATTTTCTTTCTTATTCTTTCTTTTCCTCTCTCTCTCTTAATCTTTCTTTTTACTCTCCTTTTATTCTTTCTTTTCCTCCTCTCTTATTCTTTTTCTTTTCCTCTCGCTTTTATTCTTTCTTTTACTCTCCCTTTTATTCTTTCTTTTCCTCTCTCTCTCTTATTCTTTCTTTTACTCTCTCTCTCTCTTATTCTTTCTTTTCCTCTCTCTCTTATTCTTTCTTTTATTTTCTTTCTTATTCTTTCTTTTCCTCTCTCTCTCTTAATCTTTCTTTTACTCTCCCTTTTATTCTTTCTTTTCCTCCCTCTCTTATTCTTTCTTTTCCTCTCGCTTTTATTCTTTCTTTTACTCTCCCTTTTATTCTTTCTTTTCCTCCCTCTCTTATTCTTTCTTTTCCTCTCGCTTTTATTCTTTCTTTTACTCTCCCTTTTATTCTTTCTTTTCCTCTCCCTCTTATTCTTTTTTTTACTCTCCATTTTATTCTTTCTTTTACTCTCCCTTTTATTCTTTCTTTTCCTCTCTCTCTTCTTCTTTCTTTTACTCTAGCTTTTATTCTATCTTTTCCTCTACTTTCATTCTTTCTCTTCCTCTACACTTCATTCTTTCTTTTTTTTTCTCCCTTTCATTCTCCATCCTTTCTTTTTCTCTTTTCATTCCTTTTCTTGTCATTTTTTCTTTTCCTAATCCTTTTATTCTTTTCTCTTTTCTCTCCTGCTTTTTCTCCTCTATCTTTCGTTCTTACTGTATTCTCTTCTTTTCATTCTTTCTTCTCCTTTCTCTTTCTTCTTCCTTCCTTTCTTTCTTTTCCTCTTCATTTACCCTATCTTTTCTCTCTCTTTTCTTTTCCTCATTCTTTTCATTCCCTTTACTTTTCATTTCCCTTTCCTCTTCTTGTTTTTCTTCTCTTTCTTTTCTCTCGTCGTAAAATACGGAAACTTTATAAATACATGTCTTATATATTGAAGATGTCGAATCTGAATTCATCGCTAATTATACGCAGGTTGAATAGCTTTTCATTATGAAACAGATTAATTCAATCTTCCTCGACTTCCAACTTTAAAACGCCGTCTTTTATTTAAGCTTCTTTATAAACTTTCGGTCATTCAAAAAATAAAAATAAATTCTTAAACGTGGCAAATGAACAAAATCCATTTCAAATCATCGTCCAACTTTCCTTTCCCCTTTTTTTAAACAGAGATGAATGTTTTTTTTTTGTTTTGTTTTGCGCCTGAAAGCGCCAGAAAAATAATCGTAGCAGTAAACAACTGAACAAAAAAATAAAGAGAAACTTATGACTTGTGTAATAAATATGTACAGAATTTATTTTACACAATAAAGTACTTTTGAAAAGTACGCAGAGTTAAATATTTGGAAAATGATCGTTATGTACTAAGGTAGATACTTTCACAAAAACGCGATACCTAAGGTTTAAAATGAATTTTTAAAACGAAAAATCTTTCTTGAAGCTTTTATTTTAATTTTAATTCCAGGCTAATAGATTAAATTTAATATTTCCAATAAGAAAAATAGTTTGCTGTATTTCAAAACTAATTTAGATTGACGGGAAAGAAGGAGTTTTCGTTTTGAAATTGCTAAGCATCGCTGATTTTAGCGCCATTGTTACCGCCATTTCTCATTGCAATCCAATTCGCTTTATTAAAAAATCTTTAAAAATAGAATATTCTTTTCTGAAACGTTATTTGTGAAATATTAGCTGATTTGTAGTTTAATTAATCTGATTTGAAACAAATATTACTTACCTTAATTTTAAAATATCGCAGATATACATTTTCAACACGGCTGCAGCTGTTTATTTTAGGTGTTGACAGGCTGACAGCCTAAATGACAGACTGAAGTTTAATGTTTTTCTACGGTGTCTATAAAATTTACTTGAAAACCAAGGTGAGTCCCTTTTTATATATATTTTTTAACTGGCCAGCAATCTTGAAAAGTTAGGAAAATATTCTAAGTAAGTTTTATTGAATTTTACGTACTTTGGCTTTAAATTTACTATAATTATCGCTCTTCTTTATCGATAATGATGTGTATGGGCGTTTGTATTTGCAAAAATCGGGACGTTTATACACACAAAATATATTAAAAATTATTTTTAAAATATTGTTGGATAATGAATTGTACTAAGCGTTACCATTTATGATTAGTAAATATAGCTTTTACTTAATAACAATATCACATAACCTCTACAAAGTAAGATAGAATTTTAATAGATTTAAAGCTTTATACATTATTCCAATTAAATTTTTTAAAAAGTGAAAATAATTCTTGTAAAAATTAATTATACCTCTAAAAATGCAGTTTTCTTAAAATAATAGTGTGAATAACATTTGTTGATAAAAGCAATTAAATATAATGAATACAACGGACATTGAAACTAGGCTCTCCAAAAATCTCCACCCGTACATCCAAGCTTACAACAACTGGTATTACCAGGCGGTCACCCGTCTAGGTATTGACCAGGCTCAACATTGCTTAACTGCGGTGATCGTACGGGAGCCGGTGTTTCAACGTGTTGTTACCGTAGGCCTAGACAGAAAGAGAGGTCAGGAATAAGAAAGTATTGCTGAGTGCAAGAGGACGCTGTGGAGAGCCATTTCCAGAAGTTACACCGAACACATCGAAGACAAGAGAAGAAAACGAAAGCAAAAACTAACTTGCCACTAAGACAAAGGTGGGGGCATAAAAGGGAATGCACTTCCGAGGGTAAAAGGACGCTGTGGAGAATCATGATCACCCATATCCTGAAGTTGGACAGCAGATATCGATACCGGAGATATCGACATCGAGAGACAAGAGACAAAGTGGTCATAAAGTAGAAAGTATTGCTAAAGGTAACAAACGACAGGAACTTAGGGAGAGACATGATCGCCCATGAGTTAAAGGAACAGATAGATAATCAAATTAAGAAAACGTGAACATCTTAACGTAAGTATGAGCATAATTTTAGTCTTGGCCAACTTTAATGAGGAAGTTATATTCATGAATATCTTGTGAGAAACGAACACACTGTTCAGGCTCTGTGAGATTGATATACCAACTACGTGATCTGCGTACTGCATTAACTTGTAGACGTTTATTGCTTACAGTCAGCTAACTTATACAGAAAGCCATATTCATGGAGGTGCCAGCGAGATGAGACTTAAAGCTTTGAGAGGCTTGTCTACTTATTAGGCGGTTGGCGCAGAGGATCCGAGAATTTTATCTTCTAAACGTGCCGAAACCAATCCATAAATAAATTTATTTTTCAAATTATGACCGCCGTTCCATGGGTACATGAAGTTAATACAAATTTTAAAGAATTTGAATTAGATTTACCGTAAAACGAACTGTTTATGTAACCCGTGATATCATAGGTAGGATTTATTGGACAATATTTTCATTTATCCTAGTAATTACTTCGTGTGCGACAAAAATTACTGGTGATCGTAGGTCAAAAAATAACCACCGCTACATCATGGAACCTTCTTTTATGCGGTGTCTCTCTTCATGAAATGGGCGAATATGGCCGTTCTTTGATTGTTGGTTGATTGATTTTGTTTAGCAGCATATCAACACCTCTATGGATTATTCAATGCCGAAAACTAAATATTTTGAACACACTCTTATGGCTTCAAGTACAGATAAAATGTATTGTTGTTCATTTTGCTGTAAAATGTATTGTTGGTAATTCTGCTACTGTTGGTAATTCTACTACAAAATGTATTGTTGCTAATTCTGCTATAAAATGTATTGTGGTAATTCTGCTATAAAATATATTGTTGATAATTCTACTATAAAATGTATTGTTGGTAATTCTGCTGTAGAATATATTGTTGGTAATTCTGCTGTAGAATATATTGTTGGTAATGCTGCTATAAAATGTAATGTTGCTAATTCTGCTATAAAATGTATTGTTGGTAATTCTGCTGTAGAATATATTGTTGGTAATGCTGCTGTAAAATTTATTGTTGGTAATTTTGCTATAAAATGTAATGTTGGTAATTCTGCTATAAAATATACTGTTGATAATTCTACTATAAAATGTATTGTTGATAATTCTACTATAAAATGTATTGTTGCTAATTCTGCTATAAAATGTATTGTTGCTAATTCTGCTATAAAATATACTGTTGCTAATTTTGCTATAAAATATATTGTTGGTAATTCTGCTGTAGAATATATTGTTGGTAATACTGCTGTAAAATGTAATGTTGCTAATTCTGCTATAAAATGTATTGTTGGTAATTCTGCTATAAAATATACTGTTGCTAATTTTGCTATAAAATATATTGTTGGTAATTCTGCTATAAAATATACTGTTGATAATTCTACTATAAAATGTATTGTTGGTAATACCGCTATAAAATGTACTGTTAGTAATTCTGCTATAAAATATATTGCTGGTAATTCTCCTACAAATAGTTATTGTTGGTAATTTTGTATATAAAAATGTGTTGCTGGTATTTTTCCTATAAAAATGTATTTTTATACTTTTCATAATCTTTTTCATTGGGAGTTCACTATTTGCCCATAGCTGGGACTCTAACAAGTGCTACCACACTGGGTCAGGATGGACTTGGGCCCAACAGCAATTAAGAGATGGTTCCATGTTCCTCAAAACTCCCATTCTCCTGATCAGAGGTCTTACTGCCGGATGTAGTTTATCGTCATACTCAAGACTAACCGTCTTTTGAAGTTCTAAACAATGCCTGTCTCTTTACTATCCTACCAGACCCTGTTCTGCTATCCACTTACACAAACTCGTTAATGTAGGTTACATAATGTTTCCCGATGTCCTTCTTGTCTTCTGAATGTCCTATGTTTGTCAAATTCTCCGAACACATTTTCCTCATTTTCTGTCACGTAAATGTCAACGGTCTCGTTCTGATTTTAAGTACAAGTGTCATGTGTCATGTTTGGTTTTCAGTTTCCTTAAAACTTCCTCGCTGCTTACATGCTCCTTCCATAGTTTTCTCAGCATCCTTCTGTAGAATCACGTCTCTGTTGTCTCAAGTTTCATCTTCATCTGTGAGTAAACTCTGCAGCATCCACTGTCATACTGGAGGATTGATATTCCATAGTAGTTCAGTATTTTTTCTCATCAACGCCATTAAAATCAGCTGGTTTCGCCAGTTAAAACCTTCACGGCAAGGACCCACTATGCCACTTACGTTGTAGAAAACCACCCACATTCCCTCCATCGGTGAGAAGTTCCACCCGCTAACTACTGCTCTGTGGAACCGACTCCCAAGAGGGTGTTTCCCTGATCCCTTCAATCTTAACCCTTTCAAATCTAGGGTTAACCTCCTATACGCACAAATTGCCTCTTAACGTAACCCTCTACCTCGAGTGGCCCCCGGGCTTTGAACAGGATGAATCTTACTGTAAAAAGAAATATCCAAAAATGATGAATGTTTGGTTTATGTCATTAGGAATTAAATGAATCTATCTCTCCTTATTCGTACCAACCTAGCTATCGGTTAATAGCAGTGTAGACTTTCGCCGGCAAGTTCTATATAAATAATGACTTGATTCAACCCGGGAAAATTTCACGGTCTTTCGATTTTAAATCTCTGATGAATCTTAATTCTTCAGTTAATGATTGAATAAACTCATGGCGAGTTCTAAGACAATCAAATATCCATAGAGTTTCTCCTACCGCATCGTTAAATAGTTGAGCTTAACAAACAGAATATTGCAATAACAATCATAAATATGAATGCTGGTCGTTATTTTAATAAGGAGGTACAAATGAAAAGATTTGAAATTGACAACCGTTTCGATTTCACTGAAACAGACGTTAAACAATTCTAGCTTCCCTTCTTTCTTTCATTTTCTCAATGAAACAATGTAGCATCTTTAATATGTCTTTACCGTCTTTGCCACGCCATCAAAACGAAATAGACCATTATTTATGAGATACGGAAACGTTAAATACTTCTTTCTCTCTTTCTTTTATTCACTGAAACCAAGTAGCATCTCTGAATGTGTCATGTCTTTCCACGCGATCAAAATGGAATAGTCCATTATGAAGTACTGGCAGGGCGTAACGGTTGTGTGAACTAACAAAGAGAAAGACAAGCACAATTATTATATGATGTTATTACTAAGACAGAATGTATAATTGTCAGCAATTAAAAAAAAAAGCCTAAGAGGCGAGCTATGAATTAGAGATGCCAAAATTAAACAAGTACAGAATTGTAAATATCTGAGAAATGTTTCAAAAGAAGACGGAAAAAAGTGTCACCGAAATCCGAAGAAGCATTGGAATAGTAAAAGGTGCATTTCAAAAACTAAAATCATTAAGAAACATGGAAACTTCTTGAAGTTAGAAACAAAGGAAAGAGTGCTCACCTACTATGTCATATCAATCATATGTGGCTGTGAATACTAGACAATCTTCACATAGATTAAGAGATGGCTTGAGGCAGCTGTACAGAAGGATGATGAGAATATCCTGGACGGAGCATGTAAACCACGAAGAAGATTTAATACAAATGGAAACAAAAAAGTCAATTTTATTTAAAGCAAAATGACATTTCTGAGATACTTAAAGAGAAAAAAAGACTTGGGAAATATGACACTCACAGAACACATCGAAAGCCAAAAAAACAGATGGAAGAAGAGCAAAACTTGTCTCACAAACTTGTATAAATGCATGGTAGAACGGGGATTGAGAGGTATGGTAAGGAAACAAACATTGCTTATATCTACAAAAGTTAGGAAGTTTTGGAGAGCCATGATCTCCTACCTAATAAGTTTGTCTAAATGGATGGTATAACAGGTATTGGAAGGGATGATAAGGAGACAAACATTGCTTACAGCTACAAAGGATAGGAAGTTGTGGAGAGCCATGATCACCTACTGCACTAGCTTGTGTAAATAGATGGTAGAATATGGTAGTGATTGGGAGGATATCAAGGAGACAAACATTGTTTACAGCTACAAAGGATAGGAAGCTGTGAAGAGCCATGATCACCTACCTAATAAATTGGGATTGGGAAGGATTGGCAAGGAGACAAACATTGCTTACAGCTACAGAAAGTTAGGAAGTTGTGGTGAGCTATGATCACCTTCTGAACTAGGGAAGGAGACAAACACTACTGAGAAAATGAGCAGAACTGAACGAGAAAGTACGCATTCCTGAAAATGGTAAATAGAACCTTGCTGAGCAGGGACTCTCTGTGTGAACGAGCGGACTAAAGCCCGCCGATTCAAACGTCCGTTTCTCTTACAAAGGAGGACGCAGTTTCATACCCAGCCGGAGAGCATTCATTAAGTTTTTCGAGTGCGCAGACAAATAGATGTAATTCATACTGTATTAAAATAAAAACAGGGTGTTTATTGAAAACACGGGTATCCTTTAAAAATATCATTTTAGGAAATAAAAGTATAATTCTCAAGTAATGCCTTCATTTTGTTATTTTTAAATGCATACTGATAGGGTGTAAAGGTTATCAATAAGGAAATTAAAATCGTTTAGCCAAATTCAAATTCCAGTTTACTGTGTTGCATTCACTTTCACGTTTATGACCTTAGGA